TTCCAATGTAAAAAAAAAACGAGGGACAAAGTCGAGTCCTCAATTTCACATTTAACAAAAAAAAGTTTACGGATTTTTCTCTCTCTCTCTCTCTCTACCTCTATCTCTCTCTGTCTATCTCTCTTTCTCTCTCTCATTACATCCATTAAAAACTTTTTTAATAAATTTCATTTCTCGTTATTTATTTATAATTAATTAATTTATATATATTTAAAAAAAAAAAAAAAAAATGGACGTGTGAATTATTAGCGAACGAAAAAACTTTTAAAAATATTTTTTTCTTTTACCCATCGAAAAATCTCGAATCGATTAAATTTAATATCGTTCGATTAATTTAAACGTTCGATATATTCTCGCGTGAATATAAATTTTTAAATTTTTTACCTTTTTAATATATATATATATTAAAAGTGGCGGTATCCTTTGATTGATAAATTCTTATAAAAATTATTATTATTATTTTTACCTCAAATTATTAACGTGAAACAAAAAAAAAAAACATTTTAAAACGTAAATTTAACATTCCGGTTCATTATTTAATTATTTAATCACAAATAAATTTTACGTAAAACATCACAAAATAATTTTTCTTTTTGAATTTTTGAATATATAGAAAAAAAAAATGGCTCCGTTCGAATCGTTCGTTCGTTCGTTACGTTTTTTAACGGTTATTTTTTTTTTTTGATATTTCCACGGTTTTCGTTTAAATTCGTACCGATAATATATAAATATATTATTAACGGATATTTATAATTGGTATTATTAAACAAAACAACCAAAAACAAACGAAAAAAATGAATTTTTTGTACGAAATGAACGTTATAAATCCGAATGTTCCGAACCGAATTTAAAAACTTCAACAATCGTCCTCGGTCGACACCAACTAGTAACTCGTCGTTCTAACGGTTTGTTCGAGAAAAAAAAAAAAATGAGTATCGATCCAAAACGTTATATGTTCACTGGAAGAACCGTTTTCTCCGTTTGCGTTTATCTTTTTACTATATTTTTACCCCCACCCCTTTTTCTCCGCCGATTGTTGAATTAATTAATTTGGTTTTTTTTTTTTTTTTTTTTACTCTATGACTCTCTGCCATTTCTTTCACTTTAATTATCTCATGTATATATGATATATTAATTTTTTCCCAATTTTTATTATTTAATTGTTGAATTATTCATGTTTAGCATTTGATATTTATTTTTCAGGTTATTTATTTATTAAACTAAGTTATGGCAATAAAATTATTTATTAAAATCACAATTTAAACATTTTTCTCACAAAAAAAAATTTTAAAAATTAACATGGAGTGTACTTATTACACAGATACATATGTACTTTTTTCTATTTTCAAATTTGTCTGTTATCAGAATATTGTAATTGATAAAAGGTATCATTGGGGTGATAATTTGTTAAATTTAATAAATATTTAAATAATCTTTTGATGTGATGGAGTTGTTTTAAATAAAAAACAAAATTTATATAAAACATTAGTCAGCATGTTTTTTATGTTTATGTTAACAACAACATTGGTGTTAATTTATATGAATGAAACTCTTTTAAAAACAAATTATTATTATTATTATTATAAATGAATTGTATACAAGTTAAAAAATATTTAAAATAAATAATGTTTGATAAGTCATATGAGTAATACACAAAAAAAAAAAAAAAATGGAATATGTATAAATTTACATTAATATTTTTATTCATTTCTATTTTTTTTTTTTTTTTACAGTTACAGAATAAACAAAATGGAAAAAATTATTTTGTGGTGATTTATAGCTCATCATGGCACATGATTTTATTATAAAATTTAAATCAAATAAAAAAAGGAAAAAAATAAATAAATAATAAATAAATTTTTCTAAAAAGATTTATATTTGATCAATGATATATTACAATTACAAGCTCAATTAAATATTGAAAATTTTTATTATTATTAGTTTTTTATATTATTTATAAAATTTGAAATTGAATTTAAATATTGATCTTTGTATACACTTTTCATCTGATGCGGTACTAAAAATATTTCATCCGTAACAATTAAAAAAGCACAAACACAAACAAACCATTGGGGGAACGCAATAATATTGTTTATAATGAAATTTTTTCTTTTGGTGTGGATCTTTTGAAATCATTCACCTGTATTACTTTATTTCACTTAAAATAACGTTACGGTATTTGAATTTTTATTATAAACAACAACAACAAACAAACCCAGTATAATTTTAAAATAAAAAATTTTACAACATCATAATAAAGGTAACCCAATAAACAAATGGCGGATTTCGCGGTTTTTTTTCTTTCTTTCTTTCTTTCTCCAACCAACAAAACAAAACCACAGCCTTCTTAATTAAAAAAAAAAAAAAACAACGCAAAAAAAAAAAAAAAAAAAATTTTTCTATGGATGCTTAATAACGATAGTAACTTGTTGCTTTCTTTTTTAAATTTTATTTTCGATAAAAAAACAAAATAAACCAGAAAACATAAACATTTTATTTAATAAAATAATTTAAATTGAAATATATATTTAAATATTAACAAATATATAACGAATGCGAAATTTTTTTGCAAAACACAAATAAATATATTTTTGTTAAATGTCACTTACTACGTTTTGATAATGAACACTTTTAACTTGCCTATCGAAACGAAGCGCTATCTCGCAAGAAATTACCTGGACAATGCACCTTGCTGTTAATGAATTTTTTTTTCTTTTTTTATAATTGAATAGAACAAGTCACGATTTGATATTTTAGCAAAAAGAAAAAGGAAAACTGTCGGAAAATGAATTTTCCCAACATCCCACATTAAAATATTCGAAATAATGAGAAAACTAAAACCCTACGCCGCAGTATTTTAGGTTCGATTCTTCTTTTCCGCCATTTTTATTTTATCGATTTTAATTAAGTTTTAAAATAGAAAATTGTAAAAAAAAATTGAAAACGATTTTCATATTTCTATTATTATTAATAAAAAAATTAAATTTATTCTACAAAACCTTTTCTTCATATATTTCTTACCGGAAATTAAAAAATCAAATTTTGGCGGGTTAATTTTTTAAATTGGAAAGATTTATACGAAGAGAATTTTAAAAAAAATGATAATGACGTCATCGATTCGATTTTAAACGTGCACGAAACCTGTTACGACAAATCGTAAGAAAAACTTTTGTTGTTGTTGTTGTTGTGTTTAAACAAATTTTTTTTTTTAAAAAATGTTTTTCCAGAGAGGAAAATTCGAATAAAAAGAAAAATCGAAATTGTTATTAATTTTTCTTTTTATTGTATTATTTTATTCAATGTCACGTCTCCGTCGTTTAATTCAATATAAAAAAAATAAAAAATTTATATTAGTAAATAAATAAATAAATAAATAAATAAAAAAACTGGAAAACTGGTTAGATTAATTTCTCCAGGGGACACAAAAAAAAAAAAATCTGGAAGAAAAAAATAATAATTTTATTTGCGACATTTGAAAAAGGTTTTTCTTCAAAAAAAAATCTGTTGTAACTTAAAGTTTTCTTCTTTTTCTTTTTTCCTTTTTATAAAAGAAAATTTTATTAAATTTTATACATAATATATAAATAAATTTGATTTATTATTATTATTATTAACAATAAGTTAAATTTCTTTTGTTTAATTTAATGGTTGAAATAATTAATTTAATTTTTTTTTTAGGGTGTTTTCCGGTTTGTCCATTAAATTAATAATAAATTTTTTTTTTAAAATATTAATTAACGCGTTTGTTTGTTTGTTTGTTTGTTTGTAGAGGTCAAAGGCAAGAAGGGCTCGATATAAAATCCTTTTTCTATTTTCAATTCAATTTTCAATTAATTTTCGGTATGTAAAATACAAAAGAATTGAAAACGTCATATTTAAAATAAAAAAATGTTACGTAATAGATAATAAGATTTCAATACATATCACGTGATTTATTTATTTATTAATTTAACGATCGATTTATTATTAACAATGACTCGTCGTCAGATTTATTGATTTTATTTATTTGTCCTTGTGTTTTATAATTAAAAAAAAAAATAATAAAAATGACGGCCGATGGAAAAATTATCGATGGAAACGATTACAAAATAATATTAAATAAACTACATACCGTTTATTATTATTATTATTATTATTGATTATTATTAATTTTTTTTATTTTCTCTCTATGGATTTTTTTAATCTCTGACTAGTTTTTTTTTTTTTTTTAAATAAATTTTTAACTAAAATTATTATTTATTTTATTTTATTGTAATAATAATTAATCGGAGATTAATTGAAGTAATTAATTATTATAAAATTACGTAATAATAATAATAATAATTAAATACTTTTCGTTCTCATTAGAAAAGAAGAAGAAAATTTTAAAAAATTTAAACACAAAATTTTCTATAATAATATTAATTATATATATATTATGACGTCATAAAATTAATTTGGTTTTTTTTTTTTTTGTAAATTATATATAGAAAATAAATAAATATTACTCGGGTGGTATATTAAATAATAAAATATCAAATGGTTTGTAATTAAATCACAAATAATAATAATAATAATAATAATAATAATAATAATAATTGGAGAAATGTTTCCAAATGAAAATAATGATTGGAAAGAAAAAACCCCTGAAATTTTTTAATTATACTTTTTGTTGTGCTTTAAATAAACCACAATGGCATAGTCTAATTAAACACGGGGGGATTGTGTAAATAATATAATCTTTTTACAAAAACTATTATAAGTGAAAGGGGGGAAACGTAATGACCCAAATTTTGTTTTTAGAGTCGGACGACGACGACGACGACGACGACGACGTATTCAAAATACGACTCATACAAGGATTCTCGTTAAGCTTCAACGAAGAACGAGAACATGAAATTCACTTTTTAATGTTTTTTTGTTCAGACATTAAAAGGAAAAAGAGACTTTAAAGCGTGTAAAAGCGCGTGTGTGAGTGTGTGTGTGTGTGTGTGGCTGCATATTTATTATCATTATCATCATCATAAAAACGGTTCCGTCCAATATTTGACAGTGGAAGAACTTCCGTTGGATGAATTCATGTTGCATTTTTCAATTGCGGCAGCTGCTTTGACTCGGCTCCTGTGTTTAACATCTTTCGGTTTTAAACAACTCCTGTGATTGCTAAGCATTCTGCTGGGGGTCAATATTGATTTTTGACTTAATCCTGTGTTTTCTAAAAACGTTTCGTACATTTTATATTCCAAATCGGTAACCGGAGGCGGATCTTTCGGTAGCGGAGGCGGCACGATTGTTAATGTGGCATAGTAATTAACCATGTTTTTATTTTCTGCACCGTCTCCGTCGTGCCTCCCGCCATTTTCCTCCGATTCCGCATAACTTTCTTCTAATTTAAACTCTTCGAAATTTTTCCTCATGTCGTTTATATCGTTTTCTCCGCGTGCGTCGTCGACGTCGTCGTTGTTGTTGTTGTTGTATTTTCCTAAAACTTCAAACTGTCGGACTAATTGAGACACGTGTGACACGTCTTCGTGAGAATTGAAAGATCCGCTACTTAATTCCGTGACTATCGTATCCCTTGATAAACCAGTTATTAATGACGACACGGAGGACCCGATTTTAATGGCTCTGCAATTTCCCATAATGTCTTCACCTTTTTTTTTTTTTTGCTTAACAAACGACGAAACGTTTGAATTTTTCATTATTTCCGAGGAACTTTGTACGTGACTATGATTCGCGTGATTTTTTTTCAATTTCGAACTCGTTTCCGTTTGTCTCGAATTTGTTTTACTTCCTTCTGCGGTTGATTTTCCTGGACCCCCTCCGTGACGTTTATTTATCGACGTTTCGTTTAATTCATTTATTACGACTGACTTTTTTGGTTGCGAATGACCCAAATTCGACGATTGAGTAATAACATTCGTTCCTAAATTATCCGATGATTTCGATATATGGTTTGTTGTTGCCGTCGTCGTCGTTGTCGTCGTCGTGGGAGCAGCGTTAAAATTTTTCTGTTGGATTTCCGCATTCTTTTTCTGTAATACCTGATGAGGTTTTAACAATCGTGCTGGTTTCGGAGGGAGAGCCGGTGGTTTTTGTGACGAATGAACGGGTGGTTTGTTGTTGTGGTTGTTGTTGTTGTAATTGACACCGTACGAAATTGGTAAAATTTCTTCGTAGGATGCAGTACTTTTAACAGGGCTAATTGTTCGCTCGTTTTTTAACGTTTCACAATTATTTATTTCATCTAAATCAACGACTGTTAAATTTTTTTTAGACATTTCTAAACACGCTTTCTCTTCTAAATGTTGTGATTTCACGGGTGATGTTTTTTCATTAATCCAACAACCACCACCACCACCGCCATCATCTTTTACCGTCATCGAGTCGTATTCGTCTTTTTTATCTATTATATTTAAATTCCAATCGTCGTTTGAAATTATTTTCTCGTTCGAAAGTACGTCGTTACTATTTGTTTCGTACCATTCCGTCGTGTCATCTCCTCCGTTTCCATCCATTTCCTTTTCGTTTAAATTAATCGCTATGGGTTTACCAATTTTCAAAAGTTCTTCTTCGTCTCTCAATAAAATCTGATTCACGGATTCTAAAACTGGATTATCTATGAATGCGTTGTTCTCATCTCTTTTAACGTTTATTTCGTATTCGCTATTTGATGAATCCATTCCTTCCTTTTTTAAATTTTTCAAAAACGACGACGACGGAGGATTCAATAATTCTTTGCAAAGGTTATCTAACCTTTCTTCACCGGTCGCGGTACCACAGGTTGAATTGGATTTTCCAATTTTTTCCAATTTACCATTTTTTCCTTTTCCCTTCGACGCCACGTTTCGCATACCTTCACTCCCGTATTTTTTATACTTTGATATTTCCCTTTCTTGTTTTTCAATGATCAAATCCTTTTCTTCGAGTTGTTGACAAATTAATTTTTGTTCTTTTTTTATTCTCGATTCGAGTATGAGAAGTGCACGAAGGAGGAGACTCAATTGTTGATCCCTTAAATTTTTACTCGCTCTCAATTCCATTTCTTTTTCGTGTAATTTTTTCGTAAAAGCCACGACGAGATGACGACAACGCATTGTTTGCATTTTAAGAGCTGATTTTGTCGCTTCCAATTCTTTTTTCAATGTCATTTCCATCTAAAAAAAAAAAAAAAAAAAATCAAAAAAAATTAATTTTTCTCGCATTCTTTCTTATTCACGTAAATAAAAAAAAAAAATATTTTAGTAATTATGAAATACCTTTACGAATCGCGACAAAAATTTTAAAAAAAGAATTTCTAATTACACGTTCATGCACAAACCAACCAACTTTTACTTTTTGTAGTTTTTTTAGTAAAACCGCCGACAACGACAACAACACGCGCAAAAGACAATTCGTGAAACAAAAAAAAAACATTTAAACGTTAAAACTAAATTTTAAAATTAATCCTTTTCCCCCCCTCCTTTCCCCACCCTTGTTACAAATTTCCTTTCGTATCGATTTAAAAGGGAATTCAAAGTAAAGTCCAAAAAAAAAAAAAAATTTTGTTTTTCCTATTTAAAAACTTGTTCGAAAGCGATTTTGCGAAAAATTTAAAAAAATTACTCTTGTGAAATTAATTAAACGATTTTAGTCCCGTCGAGAGTTTTCTTTCCATTTTCCCGCCCCCCTCCCCCCACATTTACAAATGCTAAAAAATTTAAAGA